GCATAAGCGTATATCTCCGGATTACCAAAAAGAAAGCCGTGCCTTACAGCCGCGCCTCCGCCAGGGGCGGGCCAACAGTGCAAACGCTCCCTTGCGCCTCCTCCCCGGTATGCTCCCGCATCAGTCGGTGCAGTGTGACTGGGAATATCCAGAACAAGTTGTTCCGGATCTTTTTCCCCCACGACTCCCTCACGTTTCATACTGCCAGTCTGACCTCAGCCTTTGTGTGGGCACGAGGAACATATGGGGAGGAACTAGCAGGACCCTTGTAGGCATGACAGAGCTATTGGCACAGTCCTGCTTTACATACACGGCCTGTACACACATATCACATGTACAGGGCTTGGTGTAAGAGTGTGTTTTGGTCATTGCAGAAGGATTCTAAAAGAGCCTGAGATTAGTTTTTTTACATCCCGAAGTTAGGGGGCTGGATCCTGGAGACCTGTCAACAATGGCACTTCCTCCAGGTCCCACCTGTTAGGGGAAAGGTCCTTGCTCCTGAGGAAACTGGCACCGTTCACAGAACAGATCTGTGTGATCCAGCTTTGTGCTCACTTCCTGCCTTATCACAGTGCTGAATTTCAGGTGGCGAGCATGAGTTCTGGATTGCAGTCCCACCCACTGTCGCTGATATTTTTGTTCATCATAGTTCAGAAGAATTATAGGTTGTCTTCATCCTCAGTTCCTTATCTGAGACTGTTGTAAGTGTTTTGGGTACTGTTTTGTCCTGCCAACCTAGCAGTTCGAAAGCAAGACATTGCAAGTAGATAAATAGGTACCACTTCGGTGGGAAGGGAACAGCGTTCCGTGCGCCTTGGTGTTTAGTCATGCCGGACACATGACCACGGGAACGTCTTCGGACAGCGCTGGCTCTTCGGCTTTGAAACGGAGATGAGCACCGCAACCCTAGAGTCGGACTCGACTGGCTTTCGAGCAAGGGAGCCTTTACCTTTACCTTTGTCAGTATACACAGTGTTTTACAAAGCCTCATAAGAAAAGGTTCCTGCCCTTAGGAGTTTACAATCAACATTTTGATACTAGGCAAGACAGCCAGTGAAAACAAATGGATCTGATGGCAGTAGTCCTTTGCAGACCCGGGACCTACTGAGCTGTGAGCGTGTGACAGGAAGTCACGTGACAGTGACAGGAAAAGGCTGAACAGTGGTGATGTAACCAGGGTCGAGGCCAGGAGGTTGAGCAGCACAGGAGACCCAGACAACTGGAAGAAGGAAATACCAGACAAGCAGTCGGAGGAATCCTTTCCTCTGCTGAGTGACCTCACGTCACCATCCTGCTGCTCCTCTGTGCATGTAAAGAGAGGCTGGCATCACTGCACCCTTGATCTCCGGGCATGCACACTAGCACCATCTGAAAAGCAGCAAAAGAAAAGTGGCTGTTCTCACAACCCTCCCATTTGGGGCTTTGCAGCCTAGCTGAAGGTCCTGACCCGTAGGTTAAAAACCACTGGAATAGAGGGTAGGGAGAAACAAGGGTAGTGAGGACAAATCTAGTTATAACAAGCTTTGGAGAAGTAACGGAGAGCCAGTTTGGTGTAGTGGTTTAGAGCGGCGGGCTCTAATCTGGGAGAACCGGGTTTGATTCCCCACTCCTCCTCCACATGAAGCCAGCTGGGTGACCTTGGGCCAGTCGCAGTTCTCTCAGAGCTGTTCTCTCAAGAGCAGTCCTCGAAAGAGCTCTCTCAGCCCCACCTCCCTTACAGGGTGTCTGTTGTGGGGAGGGGAAGGGAAAGGAGATTGTAAGCCACTCTGAGAGTCCAAGTGAAGGGCAGGGTATAAATCCAACTCTCCACCCTTCCTCCTCCTCCTCCTCCTCCTGTCTAAATGTTTTGTGATTGGGTTTGAATTTTACACAATTACGTTTCTCCCTGCATGTCCTGCCTTTCGTGACCCATTGATTCCACTGTCTTTCACCCTATACTTACTATATAAAAGGTCTGCCTGTTGAGGAGCCTCTGCGTTTGTTTATTTACTTCCTTTATATCTTGCTTTTCTCCCCAATGAGGACCTGGAGTGGCTTTCAACATTCCTCCGTTTTATCCTCACAACAACCCTGAGGGGTTGGTTAGGCTGAATGTTTGACTAGGGTTGCCAATCCCCAGTTGGGGGCAGGGGATCCCCTGCTTTGGAGGCCTTCCCCCCACTTTAGGGTTATCAGAAGGGGGGGGAATGTCCACTGGGTGTTCCATTATACCCTATGGGGACTGGTGAAGAATCGATCCATGGGTATTTGGGGCTCCGGGGGTGTGTGCTATTTTTTGAGGTAGAGGCACTAAATTATGCAATTATATGTAAGCTGCCCTGAGCCTGCCTTGGCGGGGAGGGCATGGTATAAATAAAAATAAATAAGTAAATAAATTTTCAGCATAGTGTCTGATGCCTCTTCTCAACTCCCCCTGCCCCAAGTTTCATCAAGGTTGGACCAGGGGGGGTCCAATTCTTTGAGCCCCAATAGAAGGTGCCCCCGTCCTCCATTATTTCCAATGGAGCGAAGGCATTAAAAAGGAAGGCGGTCCCTTTAAATGTGAAGGCCAGAACTCCCTTTGGGGTTCAATTGTGCTTCTTCCCTCCCCTCTCCCGGAGGCTCCTGGAAAGTCCCCCGTTGGTTTGTCAGCCTCACCTGGCCAACCCTGTGTTTGACTGGCCTAAGGACACTGAGCAGACTTCCATGTCAGAGTGGGGACTCGAACCCAACACTGGGACCACTACACCACACTGCCTGTCATTGCATCTGCAGAAGTGGGCTACAGTGTTTGCAGGACTAGAATTTTGCCCACCTCGAAGTGCCACCAGAAAGTTGTTTGCTTTGGCTGTAAGAGCCCACCAGGGCTACCCTGGGGTAATACTTGGGGCTTTGTTTCAGGGACTCAGGGGAGGCATCAACAAGACAGGAACTCCAAGCATAGAGAGAAACGGGAAGATTAAGTGTAAGAGGTGTCCTTTCTGTGCGCAGGACAGCAACTGCGAAGCATCTTCCGTCGAATAATTATTTTCAAACACAAACTTGTAAAAACACAGAGGAAGCAGCCTGATATTTGACAGCTGTGCGGACAATAGCCATGGCCAACCTGGGGGGGGGTTTGCTGCGGGAGGAGAGCGGTAACACAGTGAGGAATTTTGCAGGGAGAGACATCTGTGCTGTGAAAGTTTGGAACCTTCGAGGTCCTGTTGGCGGGGCAGAGACAGGAAGCCGAAGGAGGGTGCCTGTTTATACAGCTGAGCTCCTTCGATCACGGAGTCCGGCCCCGGATCCTCCAGCTGGATTCATACCTCACCGGTGCGGCACGATGGCTGTGAAGGCAGTTGCATGTGTGGATGCAATGTCCGCATGGGCTGGGTCAATTTAAACCATGTCAGAGTATTCCCCCAATAGGAGAGGGGTCCGTTTCTTTAGCATGCCTGACATCGACCTCCAACCATATCAGGCAGCACTTCCCATCAACTGCATAACATGTGCAGTAGTGTCGTTTTTGATTCCGTATCGCCCAAGTACAAGAACTCACAATACAAGAACTCGTGGGCACTCCATGAAATTGCTGAGTGGTCGGGTTAGAACGGATAAAAGAAAGTACTTCTTCACCCAAAGAGTGATTAACACATGGAATTCACTGCCACAGGAAGTGGTGGCGGCTACAAGCATGGACGGCTTCAAAAGGGAATTAGATAAGCATATGGAGCAGAGGTCCATCAGTGGCTATGAGCCACAAGGTAGAGATAGGGACTCTGGGGCAAGTGATGCTCTGTCTTCTTGGTGCTTTGGGGGGGTCAACAGTGGGAGGGCTTCTAGTGTCCTGGCCCCACTGGTGGACCTCCTGATGGCACCTGGTATTTCTGGCCACTGTGTGATACAGAGTGTGTGAAATGGGCCTTTGGCCTGATCCAACATTGACATCTCTTATGTTCTTATGTTCTTAAATTGTAACTGGTAATCTATGTTTTACCCTTTATCAACATGTATTTATTTCATCTATTTATTTCCTTTATACCCCAGCTTTTCTCCCCATTAGGGAGCCATATTGGCTTCCATTGTTCTCCTCCATTTTATCCTCACAACAACGCTGTGTGGTAGGTTGTGCTGAGGGTGTGTAACGGGCCCAAGGTCACCCAGCAGTTTTCCATGGCAGAAGGTGGGGATTCGAACCTGGTTCTTCCAGATCCTGACCCTAACCACCACACTCCCCTGGCTCTCATTAATTTGTTAACATATCTGCGGCAGGATCGATCCCTTTGAGTTTGGTGATGGATTTATGATTTATAAGGCGCTTATAAAGAGATGGGTATCGTGGTTGTGAATTAGGCATATTTTTTAAAAAAGCAATCCCTTTTTCCCTGTATACTCTTTCCACAGAAATACATCCAGAGGGATTATGTATCACTGTTAGTGAAACGTGGGGTGCCATAGTTAGAAACAACCAGACAGTAATACAGCAAGAGTAAAAAAACAGCTGTGATATAGGAAATGGTTGCGCTTTGTGCCATGAATTGATTTAATACTTTTTTTATTTTCATTTTTTCTCAGTTCTGTAAACTACCTAGGGCTTTGGAGAAGAAGGTAATAAATAAATGGGCTGGCTTTAATATTACTGCGATGTGTTGCGTTTTAAAATTTTATTTATTTAATTCCATTTATAACCCGCTGTCCCCGAAACCAACTCAGTGTGGGTGACAACAGAATATACATTCTAAAACCTTCTAAACATTACAAATCAATAATTAACCTCAATAAAGGCTATAAAATCAATAGAAACAACTACTGTACTACCTAAGATGGTGTAAAACTCTCATGGAGGGGCAAAATATATATATAAACATCCAATAAGAAGGGAGAAGGGGGGAAGCGGGGGGAGGGAAAAGGCGGAGGAGACCAAAACTGGATGAAACCTATCAACAAGGAATTCACAGAATTTTCAGTGGGGCTGAAATCTTCACGCAAACGCCTTTGGCCCTCGTATTTTTCCTCACTATCCAAACGTTCTGTTTCAGAATTCTCCAGGAATCCATAAAATAGCCGGACAAAGTCCTTTCCGCCTCCTGCTGCCCCTTCCCCGAAGAGTGGCATTTGTGTGATTCCTTGAGGCCTCCACACCTCAGGTCTTCCACAGAACAAGCAGCGTGAGGGAAGGCATACAAGTTAATGTTTTCATCCACCCGGACAAAGGAGAATGGGGATCCTACACCCAAAAGAATGAAGACTCGACAGAATAAAGACTCTGTAAGTGACAGAAGAGGGGTGGGCAGAACGGAAAATGGCAGAGGGCTGAGGTAACATTCCCCACAATCTGTACCTATGCTTGTAAGGCAGTTTACACGTGATCCATGGCAGGGACAATCTAAATATGAGGCATCCTTATTGTGAGGCAAACTATCCAGGGTTTCGAGCAGAGAAAAGTCTTTCCCAGTGCCTGTTTTCTAAAACCCTTTCACTGGGTTTGCCAGGATTGAACCTGGGACCTTCTGTGTGCCAGGTAAGTGCTCTGCCAGCGAGCCATAACTCTGAGGGCAGGGGGCATACATAGAGGGGCCTCTGTCAATGGATCTTTCAGTGGGCAGGCTCCTACGGGAGAGTGTGGTCCTTTTAAGTATCCTGGCTCCAAACCACAGAGGAGCCAACCCCTTGTTTTAAAAAGCACTTCCTTTCAAAAGAGAAACAAAAATGTTTTATAGGATAGTTTTCAGTGTTTCCCTCAATCCTCCAATTTTCCCATCGGAAACACTGAAAAAAAGCCCTGGGGGGGGGGGATTTCTTTTCTGTCCCCCTCCCAACCACCAGGCATTTCTAGTTTCCGATAGTTGATGCCAGTCTTGCTGCCTCTTTTTGCCGCCATTGCAGCTGCCAAACAGTCTCCAGGGGCAGCCCGTTGCAGTAATCCGACCTGAATATGATCAGGAGATGGGGTTGAGCTGCTCAGGGCAAAGCCTCTGCTGGGCACACATCCAGACCCGAGCCAAAGGGACCATGGGCTACAGAGGATACTTCTGCCTCTGTCCGTAGGCTGGGATCTGTTTGCCTACCTCAAGCTACAAACCCGCTTCTCCAGTGAAAATGTAACCATGTCTAGAACCCTTGATGGGGGGGTAGTATTCTCAAAAAGCAGAACTCCAGTCTTGTCTGGACCGACCTTCAGTAGGGCCATCAGTGTTCCTGTACTCGGCAGATGAGTTCACCTAAAAGAAACAGAGTCGTGCGACAGCGGGATCGGCTGCCTAGGGAACCGGCGAGCTCCCCCGTCACTGGCAGTCTTGAAGCAGCGGCTGGACGAACACTTGTCAGGGATGCTCTAGGCCACTGGTGGCGAACCTATGGCACGGGTGCCAGCGGTGGCACTCAGAGCCCTCTCTGTGGGCACGCGTGCCATCGCCCCAGCCAGGCCCAGACCGTCATTAAAGTGTCGAATTCTCTGCCAAATAATATTAAGTAAATGAAAGCATTTGGGATTGCTTTCCTTACTCTGTTTGGATCATCTTAAGTTAATGTATGAGTTGTTTTTTCTAAAGTAAAACCTCAGTATTCAGGTTAAATGTTCGTGTTGGCACTTTGCGATAAATAAGGGGGTTTTGGGTCGCAGTTTGGGCACTCGGTCTCTAAAAGGTTTGCCATCACTGCTCTAGGCTGATCCTGCACTGAGCAGGGGGTTGGACGAGATGGCCTGTTTGGTCCCTTCCAGCTCAGTGATTCTGTGACTCTATGATTCTAAACAGGGAGGCAACCCCAAAGTGGGTTGAGCAGCGCCATGGAAAGGTCCTGTTTGGAGTCAGGAAAGGATGCTGAGATAGGAGGAAGCGGCAGTTTACGAAATAGCGGGACACGTTGCATTTGTTTCACACAGACTGCACGATCCCACGCAGATTTTTCAGTGCATCAAAGCTCGAATGCTGCGCGTTTCTTTTTTTCTTTTGGAAGAGCCTGGTCCAAGCTCCCTGCCCCGCCACCTACCTTTTTACCTACTAAGCCTGCCTTTCCTGCAATGTCTGCCTGACAGATATTTGCAAGGGCTGGATGCCTAATCATGCTGTTCACATCTGGAGACAGTGCACGCGAGGGGTTGAGTGTGTTTGGTGGCTCCAAGGGAACGCGTGAGTCAGGTCAGATTTAATTTAAACCAGGGCCTTTTCTTTTAGAAAAAGCCCAGCAGGAACTCATTAGCATAATAGACCACACCCAACAGCAGAAACGTATTAGCATATTAGGCCACACCCTGACAACACAGCTCATTAGCATACTAGGCCGTACCCCCATGTTACCAGCAGTGTAGTCATCCAGCCACACGCACCTTTTGCTGCTTATTCTGTTTACCTTGTTTGTTGTCAAAACCCAGGGCTTTTTTTGTAGCAGGAACTCCTTTTCATGTTAGGCCACACCCCTAAAGTAGCCAATCCTAATGAGTTTCTGCTGTTGGGCGTGGCCTATTATGCTAATGAGTTCCTGCTGGGCGTGGCCAACTTGGGAGCCAGCCGGAACTCCGTTCCTGTGCGTTCCTGCCCAAAAATAGTCCTGATTTAAACCAATTAAAACCGTTAAAACAATAGACGATGCAAACCATTTCAGATAGCTCTTACGATAAACTAATTTGTATCCTGCCCCACAAGGGGAGAAGTGAAGGAGAAACCAGACTAAATTAAAAAAACATTGCTGCCCTCAACCGTAAGCCTGGTGGAACATCGGTGGTTTACAGGCCCGGCAGAACTGGATTAGGTACTGCAGAGCACAGATGTCACTCAGCAGAGAGTTCCACCGGGTTGGGACCAGGGCCAAAAAAGCCCTGGCTCTGGTTGAGGACAGCCGGATGTTTTTCGGGCTAGGCATCACCAGTAGATTCTTCTCTCAGCGTGTAATTCTCTTTGGGGGGTATATAGGAGAGGTGGTCCCGTATATACGTTGGTCCCAGACCATTTCGGGCAGGGGTGGCTAAACTTGCTTAACGTAAGAGCCACCTACAATAAACGCTAGATGTTTGAGAACCACAAGACATGAACTAATAATTACACACATGTCTTTACTGAAAAATATGCAGATTTGCTTTTTATTAACATTAAACAAGACTGCCAAAAATAAAAAAACAAAAGGGGTAAAAAGAGATATTGATAATGATATTTATTTGTCCAGTGATATTTATTTGTTTGCTAATTATATTTATTTGCCTAAGAGAGAGAGAGAGAAACAGAGAGGTGGAAAGAGAGAGAGAAACAAAGAAAACAACTAGATGGGGGAAGGAAGAAAAAGAGAAAAAGGTGGATAGAAAGCAAATAGATGGGGGAGGGAGCAAGGAAGAGAGAGACAGAGAGACAGAGAGAAACAAAGAAAGCAGATAGATGGGGAGCCTGCCGGGAGCCGCACAATATGTGCGAAAGAGCCGCATGTGGCTCTCGAGCCATAGTTTGGCCTCCCCTGGTTTAGGGCCTTAAAGGTTAATACCAGAACCTTGAACCTGATCTAGTATTCAGTCTGGAGCCAGTGCAACTGGCGAAGCACGGGGTTCCAGTAAGATCCCATTCTGGACCAGTTGTATTTCCAGGTTAGTCTAAAGGGCAGCCCTGCTTAGAGCAAGCTAAAGTAGTCTAACCTGGAGGCGACTGTAGCATAGACTGTGATAGCCACATGGGGCAGGAGGCAGACTCGGAGTCTTGGGAGTAGGGTTG